ATCGAAGGCTTTCAGAAAAAAATTCTACCTTGCTAATGAACGATGCTTGATTGCGCGTAACGTAAACGATCGTACGCAATTATTGAACTATCCATATGCAGTATGTATTTACGGATAGAGGTGTTAATTTGTTTATTGATTCAAGGAAACTAACTAACCTAACTAGCCCTAAACTACGTAATCTACCCAACCTATCTAACCCACCTAACCTACCTAACCCACCTAACCTACCTAACCCACCTAACCTACCTAACCCACCTAACCTACCTAACCAGACCAACCTATCTAACACATCTAACTAGCCTAACCTACCTAACTTACCTAACCCACCTAACCTACCTAACCCATCTAACCTATCTAACACACCAAATGTACCTAACCTACCTAACCTACCTAACATACCTAACCTACCTAACCCATCTAACCTATCTAACACACCAAATGTACCTAACCTACCTAACCTACCTAACCCACCTAACCTACCTAACCTACCTAACATACTAACCCATCTAACCTATCTAACACACCAAATGTACCTAACGTACCTAACCTACCTAACCTACCTAACCCACCTAACCTACGTAATCCAGTCTAACCTAACCTAACTAACTTAACCAACTTAACTAACTTAACTAACTTAACTAACTTAACTAATCTAACTAACCTAACTAGACTAAATAGACTAACTAAACTAACTAATCTAGCTTTATCAAAATACATAACTATAAGTAACATGAACTTCACCTAACCTCAAAGAGTCAAGTTACCGCCTAACTTCCTCCTCAAATAATCTTCAACAATTATCTTCCCATCAAGTACGCCAACAGCTTCTAAATAAACGAAACATGTCATAAAACGCACAAAAGCACAATTTTCCAAGCGTCCTCAACAACCTGAGCGCTCTATTTCGGGGTGAAATCTAGCATTCAGCGTTTCCAGGATCAAGCCGGTGTCCGATTACGTATCTTCGCGTATTTATACGCATAATAAATGTCCAGCAGATTTGCCGCTTTCCCCTTTTACACTTTGATGTACCTGACAAGAACCATAGAAAGCGCGCTGTCTCTTCACCGAGCTGCTTATTCCTCCGGCTTTTACAGTTAGCGAAAGGTGTAATTGTTTTTCTTTTTAATTTATCGCATGGAGGCGACGATACCGAGTGTCCTATTAATCAAACGTAATAAAATTCGACGAAGCGTTCGATTATGCGCAGGGTGTCTTTAACGGTTCTTCGCATTTTTCTAGTAGTCGAGGAGGATGAAATTAGCATCGGCTAATAAATTTTGCTGTGCTGTATTAGTGGTAGAACGTTGGCTTTACGAAAGCTGGTAACATTGGGTGTTTCTTGATTCTATCAAGATTTTCACTTTTTCTATTTTCACTTTTGATTGCTGGTTTCACTGTTGAGGGTATCTAGAGGTGGTGCGAACTGTGGTGATATAACGCGAGGTAACACGTCTAGATAACCCGTGATGATACAAGCCAAAAATTTTGCATGGTCATATGATCGGTAAATTATTTTTTCATAATTTAAATCGCTATAAACGCTCCACTAGATCGAATGACAAGTATCATTGATCAACTGATCGATTATAAACCATACATATTTTAGTACCGAAAGGAATTAATTTTTCAGTGAAACTTCATTATATAATGAGAAGTAAGACGAGAGAAAATTTTCCGCATCTTCAAAGGTGGTCTAACCGCTAAAAAATCGAGATTACTAGTTACACGTGGTTTCCCGTCGCGCAAAGTCGCGGCACCAGCAAAACACGCGAATTATCTCGAAGCGTGCCTCAATGGGCGGACGTTAGACGCATGTCGTACGATCTTCTAAAGGTAGCAACATCACGCCAGATCCCGTCACACAATGCTGGCCCGACTAATATGGCAGCTCTTTCTTCGCTGCTTAATCGTTACTTCCGCCTCCCCGTGTGTTCGGCTCATCCGACTCGTCTTGCTATATGTACACGTCTTATCCCTCCTTCATCGTCATCGTTTTCGAAAGGCACCGACGACGTTCGCGCGTTCAATCGGACGAATCATTCCTTTTGTTCGAGCGAACACTGTCGTCCAACATTGAGAATTGTAATGATATTCTAGACATTTCTTGGTGAGCCTCGTGAGAGCTTTCTTCTCTTATTTTGGGGATGTGGAGGTTTAAGGTTAGGTTAGGTGGGATTTAGGGCAGTGGTTTGACGTTATAATTTGGGAATATGGGAGTTTAGGATTATAGGGATTTGGGAATATGGGGGTTTGGGGACGCTAGAATTAGGGGACGTAGAGATGTGAGGATTTGGGAGTCTAGGAATTTGGGAATATAGGGATTGGGGGGTGTTGGAATTTGGGGACGTACGAATTCTTGACACATAGCTATTTGGGGACGTAGAGATTTAGGGATGTAAGAAGTTAGGGACGCAGGAATTTGGGGACGTAGGAATTTGGGGACGTAGGAATTTGGGGACGTAGGAATTTGGGGACGTAGGAATTTGGGGACGTAGGAATTTGGGGACGTAGGAATTTGGGGACGTAGGAATTTGGGGACGTAGGAATTTGGGGACGTAGGAATTTGGGGACGTAGGAATTTGGGGACGTAGGAATTTGGGGACGTAGGAATTTGGGGACGTAGGAATTTGGGGACGTAGGAATTTGGGGACGTAGGAATTTGGGGACGTAGGAATTTGGGGACGTAGGAATTTGGGGACGTAGGAATTTGGGGACGTAGGAATTTGGGGACGTAGGAATTTGGGGACGTAGGAATTTGGGGACGTAGGAATTTGGGGACGTAGGAATTTGGGGACGTAGGAATTTGGGGACGTAGGAATTTGGGGACGTAGGAATTTGGGGACGTAGGAATTTGGGGACGTAGGAATTTGGGGACGTAGGAATTTGGGGACGTAGGAATTTGGGGACGTAGGAATTTGGGGACGTATGAAATTTAGGGGCGTAGGAATTTGGGGACGTAGGAAATTTGGGGACGTAGGAATTTGGGAACGTAGGGATTTGGGGGCGCAGGAATTCTTGGCAAATAGCAATACGGGGACGTAGAGATTTAGGGATGCAAGAAGTTAGGGACGTAGGAATTTGGGAACGTAGGAATTTGGGGACGTAGGAATTTGGGGACATAGGGATTTGGGGACGTAGGAATTTAGGGACGTAAGAATTCTTGGCAAATAGTAATACGGGGACGTAGAGATTTAGGGATGTAAGAAGTTAGGGACGTAGGAATTTGGTGACGTAGGAGTTTGGGGACGTAGGAAATTTGGGCACGTAGGGTTTCTCGGCATATAGCAACTGGAGGACGTAGATACTTGGGGACGTTGAAAGTTTGGGGATATAGGAATTTTTGTCAAATAGCAACTAGAGGACGTAGATATTTGAGGACCCAGAAATACTAGAATCTAGTCATTTGACAATGTAGGTATTTGCAGACGTCGGAATTTAGAAACGTAGTAATTGTCACATAACTTGAGGACCTACTCACTTGTGGACGTAGCGATTTGGCAATGTAGTTATTTGAGAACGTCGGAATTATCTTATAAATTCTATAATATATTAATTTACAGTTATTATTAATGCATTCTATTAATGTATTATTACTAATGTACATCAATGTATTATTATTAACGTACATCAATGCGCTGTAATTAGAGTCATAAGATTCTAAAAACCTAAGAATCCAACATAGCGTCTCAATTTCAACAAAACTATCAATATACAAATTCAAAATCCCAGAAACCTCCGCCCATAATAATTAAATCACAGTGTGAATATTATAACCTTACAACTTTGTAACAACTCCCTAATTTCCCCTAATTACTAGCCTACTCGTTACAGCCCCCACCATAAGAGCACTGAAGTATTACGAAGTCCGTAACTAATTAAATATGCTTTTTGCCATGAGAGACAAATAAAAAAAGCTCGTAAAAAAAGGGAAGTTAAGTTGGTTGCGTTAAAAATTCGAGTCGATCGATTCATGGTAGCTCGTTAGTTTCAGAGTCAGCGGCCCGTGAGAAAAGCGAGCGAAAGAGCGCAAGAGCTCGCGCGACGCGAGATTTCACGCTTCGAGGATCGATTAATTATTCCTTGGTTGGTGGAGGCGAGCAAAAAAGCCCCGGGGAATCGTTTAGCGGGCAATATCGTCGAAGACCTTGCGAGACGCTTCGTTGCATACGCAACGAGATCGCGAGAACGACAAAAGCGTGCTCGTTGCTGTTTCATGCTGATTTTTTTGCAGTGGCGGTTTTTTCTACGGTATCCTCGGTTTTGCGTTTTTCAACTAATCGTTCTGCTTAATGACGTGAGACAAGGTCTTATCGGGTGTCTGCTTCCGGTACTGAATTTTTCTTTCACTATCTTTAATCGTGCTTTATTTTTCTTGTTTAATTCAACTTGTCGTTCGGTTAAGAAATAGACAAAGGTGCGTCTAAATATGTAAAATAGTTATGAACATTACACGGTTGCTTTAAAATAAACAGAAGATGTATTAATGTATGTATAAGCTCTTTATGTTGACGAAGAATTAATGTATACGTTAATTAAAATGTGAATTAAATTTATACATTAATTGTTTATGTTTGATCAATGTAGATTTCAAAGAAATCACCTTAACAAATTGTTTGACTTAAAATAACAGAGTTGTAGAAATTTGTAGGTTATCTGACAGCTTCGATAAATGAAAGGTTAGGTTAGGTTAGGAAAGGTGAGGTTATGTTTGTCAACATCAGTAAACTAGTTTTTATAAAACCGTACATAAAATATCAATTAAATATTTATACAAAATTGATTACAATATTAATAAAAAATTTATCAAATGCAAGAAAAATTAGTGAATGCAGTTTGTCAAATATTCAATGAAACCATGAAACATGTACGGAGTTCACATAAATGGAGTTGAATGCAGAGAAACAAGGAGAAGATTAGTTTAAAGTACCTAACCTAATCTAACCTTATCAGTAGATGATTGAATATTGCAAAAGAAAAGAAAGAAGTGAACTCACCAATTTCGCAATCGGATCCCTTCCACCCCTGTATGCATACTTTGTCCCCGTTCTCGTCGCAGGTGTAATGGCCGAATATGTCGTTCCTCGGCCTGCAGAACTTCGTGCAGGTCGCGTTGTAATAATGGTCCGCGCACTGGACCCGAACACGATAAGCTAGATGAGCGTTTCTTCCTTGATGATTGAGAGTGTGCCAGGTGGGTCCTGGCAGGACAATGCCGCTGTAACTGGCTTCCTCGATCACGCCTGCGCTCGCCTCGTCTCTCGCTTGCAGGATCAGCGTGAATTGCCTCTGAGAAAGAAAAATAATTAACGATCAGAATTTTTCAATAGAACGGGATCCTAGAATGTGGACATAAAATTCATTAACTTGATCAAAGTCACGATGAAAAATATTATGTAGATGCTTTATTTTTATTTGGGTACTATAGTCATGTTATATTGTCATTTATTATATGGCCACGTGTTGATATGTCATTTCATATATAGTCACGCGTTATATTGCATCTTGTTACATTAAAGATAGTTTTAGATAGATGTTCACTGGAATATTGTCATTTTTTATATAGCCATGTGGTGATAGATAGGTCATATGATGTATAATCACGTGTTATATTGCCATTTATTATATGGCCGCGTGTTGATATGTCATGTGATATATTGTCACGCGTTATATTGCATCTTGTTACATTAAAGATATTCTTAGATAGATGTTGATTGGAATACTGTCATTTGTTATATAGCCATGTGGTGATAGATAGGTCATATGATATATAGTCACGCGTTATATTGCCATTTGTTATATGGCCACGTGTTGATATGTCATGTGATATATAGTCACGCGTTATATTGCATCTTGTTACATTAAAGATATTTTTAGATAGATATTGACTGGAATACTGTCATTTGTTATATAGCCATTTGGTGATAGATTGGTCAGATATATAGTCACGCGTTATATTGCCGTTCGTTATATTAAAGATGTTTTGAGGTAGTTAGATGTTGACTGTAATAGTCATTTGTTATTTAGTCACGTGCTGATAGATATTTCATATGATATGTATAGTCTCGCGTTATATTGCCGCTCGTTACATTCAAGATATTTTTAGATAGTTAGATGTTGACAGTTATATCGTCATTTGTTATATAGCCACGTGTTGATAGATATGTTATATGATATGTTATATAGTCTCGCGTTATATTGCCGTTCGTTACCTTAAAGATATTTTTAGATAGTTAGATGTTGACAGTAATATCGTCACTCGTTATATAGCCAGTTGTTTATACATATGTCATATGATATGTTATATAGTCTCACGTTATATTGCCGTTCCTTACACTAAAAATATTTTTAGATAGTTAAATGTTGACAGTAATATCGTCACTCGTTATATAGCCACTTGTTTCTACATATGTCATATGATATGTTATATAATCTCGCGTTATACATATTGCCTTTCATTAAAGATATTTTTATATCGATTCGCTGATGAATAAAAAGAAAATATCCATATTAATTCATGAATTCTATAATCTATATAAATCACTTCATAAACAGAATTATTTTCAAGAAACATTATATCATAATATCTCAGTTCTCCAATTATTTCATACAAGTATAATAATAAGAATTACATATTCATGTTAACAGAAAATATTCAGTAATATTTTAGCAACGCAATCGTGGATCTGAAAAGATTAATGAAATTTTTATTGAAATAAGTATTACTGTAGTTTCAAGATCATACGGTAGCTAATATCAATATTCCTCACGCAAATATTTAATCTCTGATCATTGTGTCTGCGATCGTTAAAATTTTCACCCACGTATATATAAATAAAGCCTGCATCCTTCAGGAATTTTATTTATATTAGTTTCTATATTTGCTTAATGTGGCCGCAACTTTCCCACGGTACAACAGTTTCTTATTGTACGGCATATAGTTAGGCAAGCATATAAAGGAGCTGAAAATGAAGATGCATTAATGCATCTACAATATGCGCATTCCTCCATTTTAACACGAACTGTAACATATAATTGTTGCATAAATAAATTCCTCGAATTTATTCCGCTCGTAATAGTTACGTGATAGAATAGCGTAAAGGAAGCTCGGAAATTTGCGAAAGTCCATCTCGGAAGGTACCACTTAGGGATTATTCAAGCTGGCCAAGGGTTAATTGCTGCCTTCATCAAACCACCTCCTCTTTGCAAAGTAGCCCTAGACGCGCGTGTGACATCATCCGTATTCAATTCCCTTTTGCCGGAAAATGCTAATTCTACACTCTAGACAACTATAAAAAATATTAAGGGGGGCAATACCTTTAGAATCTTAATTACAAAATTTTTTTTTATAAAATGTTAGTGTAATATCTTACAAATATTGTCTAAAAATTTCCAACTGAAATACGAAAAAATTTACAAATATCAGCTTACTTTCATCTGTCTAAAGGTATTACCCCTCTCAACGAGACCCTCGTTAATCGGGACATAAAGATGTGCGAGATTATTTAAGAACATAATTTTAGTGAAGAGATTTTCAACTAAAATATTTCTAATGTATTACAATGTATTGCATGTATTACAATGTGAAAGTAAAGTATTTCTTGATTAAAAAATGTACAGCAGTACAAGACAATTTGTAATTAAAAATGGCCGGTCGAAAGTCGCTCATTGTCTGAGCGCGGAGTTCATTAAACCGTCGTGGCTCGGTCGGTATTTTTTTGTTGTTCGAAGGGACCGGTTCCATCGGGAACACTTCCAGCTTTCTATCGTCCGGTTGCTCCTGAACACCCCTTTGGGATCCGCTTCGGGACGAACAGATAGCCGCTGTCTTCCGCGACAGCGCGATCGGAATTTATTTATTGCATTAGCCGACCGTCACTCACGGTCCCTGATTGGTGGTGGTTCCGAAGAGAAGTCTCCTGGTGGAATCGAGCAAGCACAACGCGGAATCGCGCAAACCCCCGGTGTAATTATTCTGATTTGTGGCCGACGAATGGCCGTGCGATCGGCGAAAAATCTGCCGAGGTTCTGATTACACCGTAGATCGGTAATTACTGCGAACGCGGTGGGTAGGTTTTGACGGGGACGTTTGTTTTGCCTTCCTGCTGTTTCTCTTGCTTCTCTGGTGGCCGAGCCTGTCAGGACGAGTGCGACGGCTACTTTTTTATTGGATCATCGACGGTTAAAGGTATAGGGGAGTACGTTTAATCTTTCGTCAATGGCGGACGATTGGTTATGTGACGTCAGTTCGTTACAAGATAAAGGGGTAGTTTATTCTACATATGTGTCAAGTGATATGTTATATGGTCTCGCGTTATATTGCCTGTCGTTAGATTAAAGATGCTTTGAGATAGTTTGATGTTGACAGTAATATTGTCATTTGTTATATAGTCACGAGTTGATAAATATTTCATATGATATAGTCTCGCGTTATATTGCCGTTCGTTGGATTAAGGATATTTTTAGATAGTTAGATGTTGACAGTAATATCGTCACTCGTTATATAGCCAGTTGTTTATACATATGTCATATTGTTATATTGTCTCGCGTTATATTGCCGTTCGTTACCTTAAAGATATTTTTAGATAGTTAAATGTTGACAGTCATACTGACATTTGTTATGTAGCCACGTGTTGTATGTCATGTGATATGTTATATAGTCTCGCGTTATATTGCCGTTCGTTACATTAAACATATTTTCAGATATAGTTAGATGTTGACAGTAATATTGTCATTTGTTATATAGTCACGAGTTGATAAATATTTCATATGATATAGTCTCGCGTTATATTGCCGTTCGTTACATTAAACATATTTTTAGATATAGTTAGATGCTGACAGTAGTATTGTCATTTGTTATGTAGCCACGTATTGACAGATATGTCATGTGATATGTTATATGGTTTCGCGTTATATTGCCGTTCGTTACATTCAAGATATTTTTAGATTGTTAGATGTTGACAGTCATATTGTCATTTGTTATGTAACCACGTGTTAATAGATATGTCATGTGATATGTTATATAGTCTCGCGTTATATTGCCGTTCGTTACACTAAAAATATTTTTATATAGTTAGATGTTGACAGTAATATCGTCATTTGTTATATAGCCACGTGTTGATAGATATGTCATGTGATATGTTATATAGTCTCGCGTTATATTGCCGTTCGTTACATTCAAGATATTTTTAGATAGTTAAATGTTTACAGTAATATCGTCACTCGTTATATAGCCAGTTGTTTATGCATATGTCATATGATATGTTATATAGTCTCGCGTTATATTGCAGTTCCTTATATTAAATATATTTTTAGATACAGTTAGATGCTGACAGCAATATTGTCATTTGTTATTTAGTCAGGTGTTTATAGATATGTTATATAGTCTCGCGTTATATTGCAGTTCCTTACATTAAACATATTTTCAGATATAGTTAGATGTTGACAGTAATATTGTCATTTGTTATTTAGTCACGCGTTGATAGATACGTCATGTGATATGTTATATAGTCTCGCGTTATATTGCCGTTCGTTACATTAAACATATTTTTAGATATAGTTAGATTCTACAGAACTCTACAGAAGCGAACACAAGAACACAGTACAACCTCGAGACAAAGTTTTACAATTTCTTCTCAAATATTTGAATCGCAAGAACCAAAACGATCACCTTTGCATTAAGTTTTTCTCCACGAAAACTTGCAAGTTGAAATTCAACAGGTCCCCGAATAAATGAATCCGTTTCTTACAAGGTGCAATTTACTCGACAGGCTTCCGTCGTGGGTGCCTGAAAATCAACGAGAATCATCGAACCGGTTGCGAGATCGTTTCGTACCAAATCGGTCCATGCGAACGGTACAAAAAAAAGCCGGCTTCCAATCCTAGAAGTGTCGAGCCGCTTTAGGAGACGATTTGTCCGCAAGAAAACACGCGCGTGTAAAACGGACACGGTGCCGGCGACATTAGCCGCATTTTATCTAAGTATTCGGGCTTGCCGGCGGGGGAGAATGTTTTCGCTAATTCGATATCGACAGTTCAGTCACGATCGACCAGTTAGTTGGACGTACGGAACCGACTTGTCGCCGAAAGGGAATCGATCGCAACGGGAAACGACGTTCCCACATATCGATGCTTGTATGTTTTTCCACGAACGCTGAATCAACGCTGACAGCTTCGGATTACGATACGCTCTTGATTAATACATTTGATGATACAGGATTTTAGCGATATTTTGATGGATATATTTTTCATTTTTTTTGGGGACTTTTGGGTTTGGAGTTGAAAAAGTT